TCTTACTATCAGAACATGCATTCGGCTGGATGTAATAGCTGTGAAGTCTTGCAACCATATCCGTGCAAATGAGTGCCTACGAAAGTGGATGATTTTGTTTTATCCACCATTCTGTTGACATTCTTCCAGATGTAATTAACGGGGTGTAGGGAGCAGATGACATCTTCACTTTGCGCAAATACAAGTACTCAAGAAAGGGCTTTTGTACGGAATAATAAAATAGGACTTCAGTTCTGCTTTGCCAGGTTTTGGATTCGAAGTAGTGGCTAACAGCAACAGACAGGGGGGGTTGTTACAGATAAAATTCTGGGGTCATGTTTAGAGAAATGACAGCAGAATGCATTTGCCAAAAGTGATTTCATTGGACGATCCTAATTGACAATCTGTAATTGTTTTGTAACTGATACTGTAGGCAGCCCTTTGGAAGGCTTCAACTCTGTGGGCTCCATAGAAGGCATGAATACATAGTTAAAACAAAGTAATTGACGGAAGTCTATTACAATGGATGACAGATGAGATTCACATCAATTCAGTATGAGAATACAAACCCCTGTCCTGACAATTAGAAATGATAAAAAGAAAGCCTTTTCTTGGTTTGGTGAATGGCGGTATTTGTCAGTTCTTAGTCGATTGAGTACAACTACTGTTGAGGATACGTAAGCGACTAGTGGCATGCTCTATTGGAGAAACAACATAGAGAACACCATCTCTTTCAGCTTATTGATGTATCCTGCGCCCAGAATTAACAATATAAAACAAACTTACATTAACGATTCAGTTTTTGCTCAAATTTCCTGGAATTTTATTTGGTTTCTTCCCTTCATTTTTATACCTTTCATATGTATAAGCTACTTCTAACCTTTTTCTTTGCTACTGCTATACAAGTTCCTAGTTTATTCATGTGAACTCGTCAAAGACTTTACACTCTATAGTACTAACAAATTATTGTTATTAACATATATCACACTGGCAACACCGAAAAAAACAGTCTGTTTGCTAAAGTCTGTTATTTTTCATATCTTCATAGCTAGGAAGTTGGTTTTATAGTACAGCTGATGTGGCTTCTAAAGATTGTTGGAAAATAAGTTTCGCAGATATTAGCAATGAGTTGTCATTCCGCACCTTTTGGTTCTTTCTAGAACCAGTACATCACTAGGATAAATCTGAATAACTTGTAACATTATGAATCTCTCTTAAGTGAAAACTGCAGCTGACTTGGGACGGAAATATTAAGATATTGGATGTGTGAAGATATGATGGACTTCCACAGAGTCAGACAGTGGACCAAAGAAAATCAATTACTATCCAACAAAGACTTGTTTTGGTTTAGAATTCTTCCAGAATAAATAGTAGGGACACACAGCTCACTCTTATACCTCTAGGTAAACATTATTTCATTCTACTGATATTTATGTGTTTATCATTTTCAAATTTCACGAATTTGTAATATACGTTCAACTCGAAATGTTATCCAACTTGTGTTAGTCTGCAAGGAATACCACCTTAAGCTTAACAGATTACTGTTAACCCTCTGGCCACTAGTAAATGCTTCCAAGGTGATTTTCCTATAGTTATAACAAAATATCAGAGGTTCTTTAAGTAACAGGATGGAAAGGCTGGTTTCTGACATTTATTGGTACCTGTGGTGTATCACTAATAACTCGGGAATAATAAACTACTGCTCAAATGCTAAATGACATCGTGTTCATCACACTTCTAGTGAATACCGAACTAATGTGATAATCGAAAAGATCGATATAACCTCAAAATTGTTTATTTTAAATCAATATCTGTTATTCGCTCTTCACTAAATCCACCTTCCTTGGATCTAGAGAGTCAGAAGCAAAACATTTTGAATTATAAAGTAGGATGTTATGTGCCTCGTGTATTCCAGTGTCTTTGAAATACTAGTATATTTATGATTTGCGGAAGTATGACTATTAAATTAACCTCGGGAGACCAAAATAACCAGAACAAATGAAGACGGTCCTGTAAATCAGCATTATAAATTGATTTTACTCTGACTCATTGATACAGGTTAAGGTGATTTTGATGGAAGTTGCTGGAAAGATCTTGTATGTGATCTATCCAGCAATAAATGTAGTCATTCAGATGCTCGATTCTCCTATGCAGTACTCAGTTATCTTTCATATATTCAGTAATATTCCCTAGAACAGCAAAATTTCACACCATAATAATGATTCTCATCTTCCATCTGATAAATTAAGAGAAGAAAAGCTATGGAACACTCCATATTCTCATGATGCTCTAGAAGACAATTAAGTATAAGTTGAGGAAAAAATATCAACTGTTAGTTCTCGAGGAAAATTCACTAGTCATCTTTATCTCTTTGTTGTTATCATCAAAACAAACAAACAATCGTCCATCTCTCTCAGCCAATTACAAGTGACATGTGAAATATTTCTTAATTCTCATTGGTTCATAAATCTATGCTGAATTCACATATCAAGCATTGAAATTAAAATGTATATATAAGAAGACAATTTTCGACTACATGCATTAAACCAATTTCTTCTCAATTCGATAAATCATGCCAGGTGAGTTGTTCGATTTCTTTCATTCTTTCAAAGTTAATTCTATTCCTTCATCATTCATGAATACAAAACAACCTTTCCATGAACTATATTTAATTCACAAATGCTTTTCATTTTAGGCTGTGGTGGTTCAGACTGTAAATGCTGTAGTGGCTGCAAATCAGGTAAAGGTTGTAATTGTCCAGCTGGCTCTTGTAAGTGTTCTGGTTGCACTTGTGGATGTTCATGTTGCAGTCGCAAATGAATGAAGAGAAGCTGATTTCACGATAAATTTTCATCTCATTTTATGTATAATACTGATCATTTTCAATAAAAACTCCATTTCAATCATACACTGGTGTTCTGATTTTCTGAATTGTATCGATGACGCTGAAGCTGACAGATAAGAGATTACTGATGGATGGTTACTGCGTTATTCACTGAGTCGGTATTTAGTGCGATTCTGATTTAACTGCTCTTCCTTAAATCAGCCCTTTCAATAATCTATGCGTTATTTAGTGTTAAATAATAGTTCGTCACACTGATAAAAACTTTTAACGTATGTTGCTCGATTAAGTAATGTTTGTGACACTGGGATTTAGTCATAATCACGAGTAGATATAGTGCAATGAGTTTGATATTTAACTTGCTAATAGCCTGGAAGAGATCAGAGAAAATGTGCAAGCACGAGAAATCGCTGCTTATCTTCATTTCCGTCTTAGTGACACACATGAGTTGAATTTCAATGTCGATGAAAAAGTAATGATCTTGTTTTTAATGACATATTAGCATATATCAAATAGGTTTATTCTTAATCCAGTAGTCTAGGTTTAATGAAGTAACCAGTCTGTATAACAATCTATGATTAATTTTCACTTAAGTGTATTTCATGTCCGTAAATAGCGGAAAATAAGTAACTAAAGTTTACTCGGTGGAAGAGATTTGTTAGCCAGATAGTAAAGAGACTGGTCAGTGTAAGTTGTGCATCAACAATGATGAGCAATCAGCATAGATACCTCTTTTGCAGCTGTGATTTATAGCAGTCGCAGTCTCAAATTTTAGAGAAAATCATACAAAATACCTCTACACCACAGTTCAACATCTGTTCTAACTTAGGTGAGGAGACACAAAACAAAGATATATCTATAATGTATATAAAAACTTTTTAAAATCGCCTCCGAATAACTGTTAACTTATGACAAGCTATTTCACATAGTTTTTCACAATAACATTGCTCTACTTGCCTTGCATTATGGACGAGAAAAGTGACATTGCTGAAAGTTGACAAATTCTTACTGAGACGACACTCATCTCCTTCTGGTTTAGTTCACATATTCATTTTTGAAACTTTATAGTAGCTAGTATCAGAATCTAGACTTCATATTCACTCCTATTAGAGAGCCTTTAACGCCTAAAACATAATTCTATTTTACTCAGCGGTATTTACTGGATTATAGTAATAGTGGAGGACTTGTCATTCGATGTGGTGTATTTTCACCTAGTTAAATAGTCGAAAATCTATGGATACAGACAGTATTCACGTGAAATGTAGGCAACAACAAGGGACTATCACGTAATCAATATCTAAACTGAATGCGTTTGCTTGAGAAGTAAAATCGATTCTCATTTTAACAACTACATATCACTTTTACATTTTTCCTCTGCAAGTTAAGTGTATAGGATAGTCAGTCACATTGTAGATACAATGCAGAACTGATCAAGCATACAAACTTGCCATAGATATTTATGCATGATCAATCTACTCCAATGAAGAAAGTTTCATGAATGATATTCATTTGTTGGTTTTTAGGGATTTGATTGGTTACAGGACCTCGGCATTTTTCCTACCGAGATGACCCTCGGTCGTCCGGGTTGCAGGCTTCAAACCTGTAGCCGATTAGCATCGGAGCGGTTCGATTCCGCCTTATCGGCGTATGCAGACAGACAGGCTTTTAGAGATCTCATGTCAACCACCGATATCACTCGTGACCCTAGTCTCAATGAAATCCTCACTCTGCCATCCCCCTTCCTCACTGGTTGGTTGACTACATCTCCCACCAAACTGACCAGTCACTTAGGACTCCACCTACTCAGTGGGTCGCCTTATCTCCTGTGAATGACTTGCTAGTATCAGCAGGCAAGCTCCCTTCCCGTCTAGTTTCATGAATGAGTTTATTGAAGAAAATATTAGATTAGAAAACAATTCATGCTAGAGAATTTGAGCTATAATTGTCATTGATCATTTGCAGTATTTTCTTATTCCCATCTAAAAGATAATTTCTAAGAGTCTATGCTAAAATCTCAGTAAATATTGATGGGTGTATTGTGTACACATTTCATTATGAGATTACTAATCATCTAGATAATATTCATATTCATTTGGCTCATGATTTTATCGAAAAACTTGTTAAATTTTAAACTTTACTCCTTCTGAAATGAAAGAAAGTTAATAAGAAACTTATTATTCACTCATTATATTGCACATTTTTGTATTTTGAGACTGGAAATAACACAAGTTTATATTAATTTTTTTATTATTATACATAGTCATCTGTCTACCAGTTTCACAGTTTGCAGGAAAAGAAAATTATCTCTGATACATGTAATGTATATATGGATATATTATCACTTCTACATGTATTTTTCTCCCGTTGGTCTATATGGTCCAGTTTTCTTCACTGCGCTTTTATGAACTTGTCCCATAAGATAAGGATTGTATCGATATATCTAAGTGAAATAATAATAAGAAAAAATAATTCTTTGTAAAGGATACATCTTAAAAGTGTATTAATTATACTGTAAATAATAAGTTGTGGCGTTGTTTTGAGCAAAACTTTGATCTGAATGTATTGATGCAAATGGGAGGAATGCTGTCCATAACATTAAGGTGATTCATAATTATCTCACACATAAAATCGCAATGTTCAACATGGATAGAATTCATAGAATTATGTCTTACAACATACTTCCAATTCAATACTTAAATATACGAACAGATAAATGGAACATCAGTGGGATCGCCCATATCAGGATTAATAGCTGAAGCCGTCATGCAAAGATTAGAATTAATAGCCCTACCTATAATTAAACCAGAAAATCTGGTACATTACGTTGATGATACATTTATAATAGTCAAAAGAAATGATTTGGAATATCCCCACAAATTAATAAACAACATATTTGAAGACATCAAATTCACAGGAGAAGAAGAATTAGATAACAAAATCCCATTTTTAGATGTCTTAATCAGGAGAACCAACACAGGAGATTTAGAAACACAAGTATATATAGAAAATCGACGCACACAGATAAAATACTCAACTATACTAGCAATAATCTAATTACTCACAAACGAAACTGTGTACAGACATTGTTTAAAAGAGTTCAAACACATTGTAGCACTCCAGCGTCGAAAAGAATGGAAGAAAAATACCTACTAACTATCTTCAAAAAGAATGGATGTCTGCACAATTTCATCAAAAAGTGTTTAAAATCGAATCACAACACCAACAAGAAACCATTATCAAAGACTACAAGGAAATTCACCCTACCATATATTGAAAATATCTCTGAAATAACAGCTAGAATACTGAAATCGTTTGACATAGATGTAGCACAAAAGCCAGCCAACTCAGTCACTTAATTCGATATTGTGCAAACCAAAAGATCCAATAGAAAAAGAAGATAAAATTAATCCTATTTACAAAATAAATTATATGAACTGTCACAGACATTACATCGGCTAAAGTGGGCGTCCCCTTCAAATCAGAATCCAAGAACACAAATCAGCTGTAAAAAGACATGGTATATATTCTTTCATATCAATACATATAGATAATTCTGGTCACCAATTTGATTGGGATGATGTTGAAATTTTTGACAAAGGAAACACCAAAAGCTCCACAGAATTCCTAGAAGCCTGGTACTCAAGCGAATCAGTAATTAACAAACATGTTAATATAGACCAAATATACCAACTAATGAAAAGTAAATCATGTGACGAGAAAGTTTAAAATCCAAGTCAACAAAAAATGATCAATACATATGTAAACATGGTTACCGGGAGACGCAATCCTATCACTCATGGAAAACTTAAATGAGTTCCCTTTATGCTAAAAATTGCGCTGAAGATGTTGTCAAGTAGGACGACGTAAGCTCCACAAATAAACCAACCAGTTCAAAGAACACTACTAATTGCTAATCATCCACCTGAGCTACAAATCTTCTCTATTCTTTCAATTAAGTATAAGTGTTATTAATCATTTGATAAGAAGCTCATGAACTAGATGTTAGTTATGCTTATTGACATCTGTGAGACAGATCTATGTGAAACTTTAATTACCAACAAAAAAACCCTCAGGAGTCAGGGAATACACTTGTACTCTTATTTCAATGAAGAGAATAGATAATATTATTATTCATCAGTTGAATACTAAGTACACATTTATTAATGCACTTTAATTGCGAAACTATCGATTTTATGTGAAGATGTGTATTGGTTCATTAGCAGAGCACTAAGTATGAATGGGATTCTAAGTTTATTTTGAAAGTTAACCTGCCTATTTTAACACTCAGATACTTACCAAAAGTAAAAAGTGAAAATAAAGTCACCATAATCATTCAATCGGAGTCTTTTCCATGTGAACCGAAGAAAAGGAAATAAATATATATTTTTTGGTTGGAGGATTTCATCATGAGCTGACATCAGTTAGAGAAACATTGTAAGATCTGGGAGTACAGGACAGTCGTTTCGTCGATCATAGGTTGGGATTCTTCGTCAGTACGCACCCACCGGCGTTCGAACCCAACTATACTGATTGCTGATAATGCTTGAAATCACGGAAGACAGTTGTAACTCAGGCGAGTACTTTGTTGTCAATTTGTTCTGCGAATTGAGTTATTTCATTGCAAAGTTTATATTATTTGTCTAAACAACATCTGCGGCGCTAACTTAAGAGTGAAAACTTTTCAACTAAACCACTCAGATCACAGCAGACAAAGATATTCAAAAATCATTTATACTTCCGTTCACAGTTCTACAGCTTCACTGCAATATATACAGCTTACATAAATATATATATATATATATTTGAGTAAGCATTTTTATGTTTATCATGGAGTTACTGGTGAGTATGTGGTTCAGCGGTAGGACTCTCGTCATCTACGCAAGTGGCCGGAGTTCGATCCTCAACCGATGCACTCCTAAACCTCGCTAATTCGATAGTATAGATCGGTAAAGAACAGAGGTCGGGCATGAGATCAGCAACTTTACTCCGTAAAACTAAAACCACTGCTAAAGAAAATTCAAAGCTCAAGAGGCTTGATGCCTTATGTTCCATTTTAGAACTTAAAGGAATAAATCTCATAATAAAGGAGTAAGCAACTATCATTCTTAGCATAATCCACACTGACGTGTTTGTATCGAGCAGCCAATTTACTTCAGATCGAGATAAAGTAGAAGTCGGACCAATGGTTGTGCTGCTAAACATTTTCCAGTAATGAGAGTCTTCTCTGAACAACTCTGACTACTTGCCAAAACCGCTTCAGACAATTCTAATAAAATGAAATAGTGGAAGACTTTGTTGAAAATCTTGTGATTTACACATTATGATTAGTCATCCATGGGCAGTCGTGTGCTGAAAATCAAAGTTTCAGGAAAAAGTACGTTGCAAATAGCAAGAAAATTTACTTACAGCCTGATAACTGGGTTGTGGAACATCTTTGGCGAAGATAGACTTCAACTGCCGAATGTCCACCAATTTATTAAATTTAGATTTTACATGAATATGTGACTAGAAAGTAGTGAGATTTCATCTTATCACTAACAGACAGTAAGACAAATCTTATGAAGCCATTTCAAGATCTTGCCAAGGCTTTCAGTACAAACTTGGTGATCAAAATAACATCTAACTTCCAACTTAACATCCACAACTCTAGCTGTAAATATTCATAGTCAGCTTTTAATTTTAAGTTCCGGCAAAACTGAATTATTGTTTAGTATAACATGTTAACACAAAGACAAATATAACATATACCTGTGAACGTTTGACCCTTTTCTTTGCAACCAGTCTTTTGCGTTTTTGACCTCGAAGATATGGATTTTCCCAAAAAGTCTAAAAATTAAGTATAAAAATAATTATAATTGATGATAATCAGCATACCTTCTGTGCAGTTAAATAATTTAACAACTTATTCTATATTTTCTGTTGAAAAAGGTCTCTTTTCGTGGTGAAACTTTCAGCTTTATGCCTACTGGCATATTCTCCTCAACATTTATTTTAGGTTGGTTACAGGATTTCATCATGAGCTGACATTAATTAGAGAACCACTGGAAAACCTGGGAGTACTGGACAGCTGTTTCGTCCTAGTTTGGGACTCTTCATCAGTACGAACCCACCGCCAGGGTTCGAACCCAGAACCTTCTGGTTACAAGGCGAGTTCGTATACCAATAAGCCACTGGGACCCAATCCAATGGCCAGCCCATGAATTCTAACTTCTGCCAATTCATGACATAGCGCGACCACTAGCCCATGTCATCCATAGCGAGTATTTGTCCTCACGCCCGACCTGCTACACCCTACTGGTCACGAATTCTCACTAGAACCCCAGGTAACTACCTACCTGAATAGGGCAAGTAGCTAGTGAGCATCTCATCGACATTCGAACCCCGGTGGGTGTGTACTGATGAAGAGTCCCAAACTAGGACGAAACAGCCGTCCAGTACTCCAGGTTTTCCAACAGTTCTCTAACCAATGTCAGCTCATGATGAAATCATATACATTTTAGGCATTATGTAACGTCGATTTTGGATAATTCTGTGTTAAAGTACTCGATTTATTTGTGGATACTTTTCATCTTGAATCAGAACAGTTTATAAATCAAAGATTATGGCTAATAGATAAATAAATATTTCTTTTCAGTACTGACCAATAGATCATTTATATCGGAAAAATGACTGAAATGCAAAAGGTGTTGTGCAGTGAACTCTAGGAAAGTAATTCAAAGAAATTTATTCTGACAAAACAAAAGAAAGTTCTGCCTGTACCAGATGCTAATAGTGGTTTTATAATAATCAGCAATAATACATATTTAAGCCATAGTACTCAAATAAATCCTTTTAATATTGAAATGACAAAATATTTTAATCACTCTGAGTACCGAGAATAGTTATTTGAAGTATTATATTTTTAAGTGTGGAGTTGTAAAGATCTTTTTAACTTGTGATTAGATTTGGTCAGGAACGACTGAAATCAGTGACTGACTAGTGGATGGAATTTCTAGTGTTCTCATGAGAAGTTGTGACCAGTGACATTCACCAAATCGGCTGTAATGATAGATAGATGCTAGCTGATGGCATTTAATAGGAGTGGTTTCATATACCAATTAAAATGAATTTGAAATTTATGGATCATTTGATCCTAGCCCGGTACGTGAATGCTCGTCAGGCTCATCTAGTAACCTGAAGGCCTGAAGGTTCTATACCCAAAAGGATCATAAGCAGATACTACCGAAGAGTCTCAGACTAGGGCGAAGCAGCTGTCTAGTATTAAATGCTTCTTTTAAATATACAAATTGATTGTCAGGAACCATCTTCTTGTATATAGGGTTATTTTTATTAAATGTCTCTTTAGAAGGCGAACTTCTCTATATCTTTAAGTGAATCTCGTCTCATAGTCTGATAATGAATGCATCATTGTATTCACTTACATTTCCTAAACGTTTTAACGAAAAGTACTTACCTTTCCGTTCGCCTTTTGTTCTGTTGAGAAACTTGTTTTAAATCCATTTTCATTCGATTCAACTGGACAACTATCCATATGTTCATTATCACATGAACATTCACCATTCTGCATTTTTCTTAATATCCATTCACGATTGAATTCTATTGTATCTTCAATATCATGATCACAAGGTGTTGGTAAATCCTCAGATTTATAGTTTATAGGACATGGATTAGGAGGATCACAATAAGCTGGTAAATTATCAACTTTAGATTCTATATGACTAGAATCAAGTTCATTTGATAAGCTAAAATTATCATATGATTCATTATTAAGAATATCTTGTGCACCAGCGCCTAGAAGAGCATAGTCTATCCACTGGCCTACTTCACCAGAGCCTCCAGAGACTTTATGTTCTCCCCATAATGGATTTTGATAGGCTATTTCATTTCGTCGTTCTGTTAATCCTGGTTCATGTAACATTTTGGCAATATTATTTTCATTAGGATTTGAATCATAGGTAGAATCTGACTTTCTTTCATAATTTAACTCATTATCATCTGTTTTATCAAAAGAAGGTTCTTCAAATCTGCCTGCTTTAGCACGATTCACTTCATTGAGAAATGCATTCCATTGTCGATCACTAATTTCATAATTTCCAGGATAATCTTCTTGAAAAATTGGATGTTTTAAGGAAAAAAGATTTTCTAAAAATGATTCTGATTCAGGATTCTCATGGAGATAATCATCATAGTATAATTTTCCATCATTTATCAATCTGTCTATGTACTGGTCATAATTACTTCCCAGTGCTGTACCACAGAAATTAATGAAAAGTAGTAGAGGAAATAAAATGCCAATCTAAAATAAACATGGAATCATTATTAACTTAACAAAATAGAAGAGTACTCACCTTTTTCATCTTTAAGTGATGAAATATAGTAGCTATTTGAAACTAAAAAGTTTCTAAAAATACTACAATCTTCATCATAATTTGTTTAATTGACCAGATCTTCAATAAACTTGTTTTATGGTCAATCAAATAAATTCACAGAAACATTCTGGTTGGAAAACTGCATGGATTTGTTGTAGTTTTCCATATTGATATAGAACATTTCCCCTACTATTGTATCTTCTAGTTACCAGTCTACTTTTTTTCTGACCTAAGAATTAATCTAACCAATAGGATGTTTTAGTAGGCTAGTTGGTTTTAGCCCAGACCGAAAGTGAGTAGACTATAGTGGGAGGAAAACGGAATGGCCTTGTAGAGAATAACAGAGGCAGACAGAAATTTGATAATCCAAAAAATCGATGATACAGAATATTTTTAGGATAGAATGAAAAAGAAACCAGTTATTTAGTCTCATAGAAATGTTGAATAATAATCAGTTGGAGAATATTTTCGTGTGTTTCTATCTCAGTATATTATTTTCATTAGTTTACACTAATGTACTCAAAAACACTTAAATAACATAAGTGCTGCATTGAGAAGGTTATCAACGCCGTCAGTGTGAACAGAAAACGAGTGGAATAAGCTTATATACAGCTGACTTCATGTCAAATTAATATATACTTATGTAACATACAAAAGTCAATGTACGAGTAGGTGAAAGTGCAGTGTTAGGGTATAACTCCATCATGGATAAGATTTTATTTTGATAAATCACACAGTGTTGTACAGTAAATATTACTGCAACATGATCAATAGAATTGAATAAATGGGATATCGTGATCGGAATGGATTGGACAGACGCTCAAAAGACCGGCGAGTGACATCACGCTCCAGGCCTTCGTATTCAATCCTGATGGGACACGATGAGTTGAGCGTCTGAGAATGACATGGAGGCGATCGTTTCAGAAGGAAATGAAAACTAATGGGTGATCGTGGAGCCAGCTAAAAGATACTCCAGAGCACAGAGTGAAATGGTGAAGTTCTACTGTTCCATTAAAAACACAAGAGATGAGTAATAATAATGTCCCCTTTATGTGTACTCGGGAGAACATGCTTCCATATGTTCTTTTCGAATGGGAATAATTTTGACTTAAATACATTTTGAAAACTGATCTTGACTTGTTCACTTCTACTATCACAGTTTTAAGTTTAGACTGAAGTGTAAACACAGATTAATTTCAGTAGTACTTTCCAGCACTGATGTCTCCCAAATAAGTCAGCGTGCAGCAGTCACATCTTTCACGTTTTTTTGATGACGGACTGATATCAGTTTGACAACCACTTCAGAGAGTACTGGGCAGCTGTTTATTCCCAGTTTGGAAGCCACCAGCAGTACGCACACACCGGGTTTCGGAGCCAGGGCCTCCCATCTACAAGGCCAGCTCGTAGACCATTCAGCTACTGAGACCCTACTCAATGGCCTATGAATACAATTCGTGATTTTAACGTGACCATCAGCCAACGTCATCGGAGAGCATTTGTCATCACTATTCAGCTGGTGAACCCCAGTGGTTACGACTTCTCACCAGAACCCAGGCACATCTTTTAATCATCAAAAGGAGATCAGGAAATGTACTACTTATATTATTTTAATAGGCTTTAGAATACTTCTTGCTCTCAAAACGATGTATTTGTGAACATTAAATTTCATTTCTCAGAACAGATATTGCCAAATATCAGCTGGATGAAACAAGATTCTAAAAATATGCTACTGCTAATATATTCGTACTCTTTGTTGCAAAATTATTGATTGATTAATTTTTGATAAATGCACGCAGCATACCTAACCTAGGTAAGTTCTCACTCAGACGACTAATTCTCTTTAACAAAACTTTATCATTTAAATTATACTGTCTTATTTCATTGTAAGCCATCTAACTCCTCAAAAATGCAATCTTTCATCTGTAGTTTAAGTAATTGAGAATAACAGAGCTACAGAAACAATTGTGCGTCAGTGGCACAGCAGTTAGGACAATCGCCGACCATGCACATGGTCCGGGGTTCGATCCCCGGCCGACGCACTCCTTTACCTCGCTAAGCCAGAAGTAATGCTGGTGAAGAGGAAAGGTTGGGCATGAGGCTAGCAACGCCATCCTGTAAAATAAACACTGCTACAGAAAATTCAAGCCACAAGCTTGAAGCCTTATGTTCCACTGGGGAACGTGAAGGAAAAAAACAGAAACTAAGGTGTGTGAACTACGGAAATTGTTACTCGAATTAGTTCTACTACGGAATAACAATGGCTGTCAGCTTTTGTCACACCAGTGACAGAAAATACGCTCATACAAAACTAGTACTGTAAAAACAGAAGACGAGGGTCAGGCAACAGATCGTTATTAGGGAAAATCAACGCATATTTATAGATTTTCATGTACATTATTGTAGATTATTGTTAGTAGAAAATACAGTCTTTTGATTGGTTGTTTCTCACAGAAAGTTAACCTTGCGTCTCTTTGTGGCTGTGTCAGATCATCCATATGCTAACTGTATCCGCCTACGCAAGGCCTTTGTTCTCATTTTCTCACCACCAATACTGGGGACATAAACATTGACGCCAATTACTGTCTACCAACTTTGGCTAGCAGCCAGCTCTCACCACAGTACGTTAGGCCAAGAAGTATCTTGTGAGCAAGAAGGATATGACGAAATCAGCGACAGCCAGTAAAGCATTATAAACCAAATGTCACTGAAAAGTTATTACTTGAGGGTAAGATTACATAACCAGAGTGAGCCCATTACTTTTCGAAGGCTTGGTCAAAACCTTTTATCTCGCAGTATCTAACTTCACAGCTTCTCGATATAACGCCACTGCTGTCTATTCCGGTTTGGATAAATTTCTGTTTACCTCAATGGTCTTGATTTGCGATTGTTACACGAAGACAATAATATCGTAGCTGAAAGACAAAAAATTTATCACGGTAAATTTGTGCCTTGAAACGTTATCTAGGATCACAATTAAAACTTCATAACTAAACCACCGAGCTCAAAGAACCCACTAACACAAATAATTCGAATGAGATGCTAATGCTCGTGTATTCATGGTGTATTCGTATTACTTACTTAGTGTAATTACTTACAACAAATTTCTGGCTTAATTGTATACTACTTATAGTAACTTGAGAAAAGTATGCACATTTTCACAGGTGCTTTAGTGGCATGACCAGCTGGTACAGAATTCATTGTCCCATCAGTTCTAACCTCTCCCAGTATACGATATATAGCCCAACCACCAATCAGTGTCATTAGTGAGTATTTGTCCTGAAATCTAACTTAGTGAATCCTGCTGATCACGATTGCTCACTAGAACTTCAGGTAACTGGTGAGCATCAAATCAATTTTAAGTTTGACCATGAACTGACTTCAGTTAGAGAATCACTGAAAACCAAGTAGCATTGGACAGCTGTTTCGTTCTAGTCATGATTGCGCTTTATTTCACAAATCAGCAGAAGTTACAGTTCATATACGATTGGGTTCCATCCCAGTAGCTGGATTGTTAAAGGGATTATCTAATAGTGTAAAAATCTTCCGTCTGATCTAAGATGGGGGCGTAGATGTGAACAGGTGAAGAGACCCAAAGCAGGAGGATATAGCTGTTCATTATTTTCTGGGTTTCGATGATTCTGCAACCGTAGTTAGCTCATGGACAAACTCGAAATCAATCAACCCTTGAAAACGCTTGAAAAATAACATAATGGACTTCTAGTATACACATCACATTCGTCAATACAACACATTCAGTTATGACTAAAATATCTGACTTTTTCACATATTCAATACTATTCATCGAATAAACTTAAATAATTAAATTAAAAACTACTAATTCGGTAGTGATTAGCAGTGGAATCCAAGATGGTAGTTACGTCTCACATAAAACTCTTTGTTTGGACGAACTAGTAATTCAGAAATTAAAAGTATTCCAATTAAGATCTAAGTCCAGTACAAATAAGTAAGAATCTAAATAAACTACGACTTTTAATCAGAATAGAGCCTTCCTGCTGTTCTAAATTCTGTGAATTTCAAAACAGTAGACAAAGAGTTTCAGTCAGTTAAGCCGTTTACCACAATTTTAATCAAGATGTGAATTCAGTTAGAGAATGACTGAAAAGTTCTTGTGGGAAGTCTTGATCATCGGAGTCCACCAGGTTGAGTTTGAGGAGCATTGTCTCAACTACCCGAGGAACAGACAAGGATGTCAAATCGAGAATCGAGAAGGCGAGAAACACATTCATCAACCTGAAACCAATCTGGAAATCTTCGTCAATCAACTCAGCATCAACAACAAAATTCGGATTTTCAATACAAACGTCAAGTCAGTCACTTCTTCTATATGAATCAGAAACTTGGCCAGTGTGTCACAAAGAATATTTCCAACAGCCTGTTGCAGACCTTTATCAACAAATGTCTTCGCTCTATACTGAAGATCAGATGGCCAGCCGGAAAGAATCACCAACAAGAAACTATGGAAACAAACAAAACAAGAACCAATCGGCCAACAAATATGCAGGAGAAAGTGGAGATGGATTGGACACTCGTTGAGGAGGCCGTTGGGTGACATCACGCGTCAGGCCATAGCTCAAGTGGAACCCGAAAGGGAAGCGATGAGTGGGACTTCCCAGGGTGACATGGAGGAGATCATGTGAAGAGGAGTTGAAACAGTATGGACTAATATGGATGCAAGTGAAAAGTACAGCAGAAGACAGAAGCAAGTGGAGGCGTGCAGTTGAAGCCATATGTTCCACTAGGAACCCAAGGGAACAATAATAAATAGTAATAATAATTATACTCACTGGTGGCATTGGCTAGCGGTAGCGCCAAGTCACTAATTAGATTAAGTTACAGTTTGTAGGCCATAGGAATTCCATCCCTGTGGCTGAATAGTATTTGACTTTGCCTTGTAATCGGACAGAGCTGGGCTCGATCTCTGGCTGGATTATGGATGCGTACTTGTGAAGAGTCCCAAGCAGTGACAAAACAGTTGTTCAGTACTGCATGGTTTTCAGTTGTTCTGTAACTGAAGTCAATTCAAGGTTAAAACTGAAACTAATCAAATCCCCACAAACCAACATTTGAAAATCGTTTATCAGTTAATAATTATTTACTGACTTGAAAAGTTAACTGTATATGATAAGTACTTGTGAGTTTTTTCTAGAATGAATGTCATATCATTTTTTACCAGTATTTATAACTGTTTCTGTTGAGTTAATTATGATATTTTTAAAATATATACGACTTCAGTTATAGAAATTGAAATTACAAAAATTTAATTAAGTTTAAATAATGAACATATATTACCAGTAAAT